TTAGTGTTCGCCGGAAAAGTCAAATAAAAAGAAAACGCTAAAAATTCCGGAAAATTACAGCGAACAAATCACAACTGCACAGCAAATGTGTTTTTACTCAGTATTCAGTTACTTTGTGCAAAAAGTAACAGTTTCAAAAATGCAAGGTCTCACTAGTTACCTGTGTGTAAATTCACCAGTCACTGATGTTTATTTAAAATAACAATCGCAACAGAATATTAATAATAACGTGAAAAAGCCTTCATTAACCATGGAGTTGGCACCCAGTGTGGCATCATATATTTCTGAGGTCAAAGTTTAGCAGCCCCGGAGACTTTTTTTTTTTTTTTTTTATGCAGATAAGTCCAGTGTCGCGAACGGAACCCTTTCTCGAAAATTGTTCTGGATCGGTGGTGTAGTAATATCACGTTGCTTTCAGACGTGAACAGGATTGGTTCGATTCCCTCCCGGTCCTCGTGCGTCATGCATATGCTTAAAGAAACATCGAGAAGTTAGCCCGAAGGGCCAGAGGAATGTTGAAAAGGATTTGCTCCAACAAAGGATTCAACTTCGAATAATGAAATGATTAACTGAGCAGCAGAAGACGCACTCTGAATTATGACACTTTTATAATCATTCTTCTTATCGATTATCATTCTTGTATATACACTCTTGTATCATCATATAGTGATCAGTTGCACTGACGATGCGAAAAACCAGCGATATGTCGACAACTGTTCGAGAGGTCTGCATGGTATTTGATGATTCTTAATCGAAGTATTCTACTGTCTGGTCAGCCGTACCAGCGTTGGTCATTTTTGTTACAGGAAACCACTAACTGCCCTTTACCTGTGAATAACTATGCGATATTAACGGAAGGACTTGTTCCTCTATTGTTTTGCGAAAGACACTGAGAAGATTGGAGTCAGACTTAGCTCCCAGTTTGCCAGCAACATTAGTAGAATTCCATGCTGCGGATGGAACGATTTGCAATATATCAGGTTCAGCGACATAGAAATCTGCACTGTTTTGCGAGTTCTCGATGTTTTCACCTGAAATCCTTTTAGTAATTTCTTCGATTTTTCCGACTTTTCAATTTCTCTGAGTTTCTGCTTCTTTAATGTTTCTATTTATCTCCATGCGCCCAAAATTTTCGCTGTTTATTATTATTATTATTGTTGTTGCTATCGCTGTTGCTGCTAATAGTGGTGCAGAAGATGCTGTGAAAAGCCCTCCTAATATTCAGAAAAAGCGATATATTTTCAGCTTCTCAGTTGTCCTCGAAAAAAGTAGCCATCAACAGCCTTGCCAGCGTGTGGTACTGAAACCGCTCAGGCTACTTCTCCATTACTTATGCGTATGCCTATTTTAAAATATGGAAGGGTTTTTGACTTTGGATTCAGTCTGTGAACAAAAACACGAAAAAGTGCAACGAAGTCTGAAACAGACTTTGCTTTAACTAGTTCCCAGGTTGTCTTTTGTCTCATGCTCCATCTATCTTGTATCTTAACAAGTCGCTCAGCTGCGATTCATAGAATGGGTTTTCTGACTGGCGATTTTATCGCCAGTTGTTTTGGTCAATGTTGCTTCATCTGGTCGTCATCGTGCTGGTGACCTTAACGTCCAGTTTGCCTCTTGTGGAGAATGCCAGTGGTCCTGCTGACAGAACCACTTGGCAAGGCTTATTCAACTTTAGGATAATTTTGTGACTTGGTAACTCAGCTTTAGGTTAATGTTATGACTTCAGGCTGGCTTCTTGTCTTTGACTAGTTTCTAGTTTCTACCACTTAATTTTTACCACTTAAGCAACCAGCTCTGATCTGGCTGTTACGATCTATTCAAAGTGGATTAAAATCACATCTGTTTGTTCGGTAAAGCAAAAGCGGAACAGCGACTGACTGGAACAAAACGCAGTTTTGGATGAAGACACATGATAGTCCAAATCAACATACGCTGCTGCACAGAAGCCAAAGCATGGGCTCCTTGGTCCGTGCGCTGATCCTCGTATGCTTTCATTGATATTACTTTCAGTGCCAGCTGTCGACGAGCGGCCACGTGAAAGAGGCGGAAAAATTCATTTTTAACTGCTCTGATGCAACATATCGTGAAGATTGGAGTAAGGCATGGTTGCCAGTTTATGAATCCCATTGCCAGCGATCCGTAATCCGATGGCGGCCATTTACAGTACTTCACCACTGAGAATGCAACTGTCGGTATTGCTGTGCAAATTACCGGCATTGCTGCCTTAAAGTTTTTTTTTTTAACAAAAATTTTCGCTAATTTTGTGACTTTTTGCTTCTAAAATAGTTATCTCAAGTTTCTCAAGTTATATATCAATTAAAAAGTGACAAATCGCAAATACGAGACTTTCAAGACGAGATGAAAACATAGTTAGAAAACTAAGTGAATGAACTAAGAACTTTCTGTGTTGTGCTCAACCACAGGATAAATCTAAAGTTCTCTGGTTTCTCCGTGGTCCTGAATGTTTTGGCACACTTACCTGCCGTGAAAGAATGGTACCTGTTTGATCCAAAAACGCGTAATCGAAAGCTAACCTGAACAATCATAACAATAGTTAACTGGCGCTGTAGAATTTTGGTCTTTTTGGCAATGACACTGCTTCGCAGCGTTTTCATAATTTGACGAAATGTAATGAAAATAATCGTGTAGGAAATAGCTGTTAAAAGAACAAATATAAGGCATAATATTTTCGATAACCATATCCACTGGAATCAGATGAGATTATTTGATCAAATCAATTATGGATTTTTATTGTGCGTTTTTACCATGTAGCGCTAGAGTGCTGCAACAGTTAACAAAAAAGCATATTGCGGCGACTCTGCCTGCGTGTTTGTCTTTATGGGTATTTGCATCTGCCAACCACGCGAGCGACGCTGATATTTTGCCAGTGCCAAATGCGACCCCAGGAACGTGATATCAACAGTCATGCACATCCACGTTTCGCGTATAAAAGTTTTGGCGGGAAAACTGCTAATTTGGCAGTGAGAAAAGCTAGAAAGCCGAAACTTTAGGGGAATGTTTCTATTCATGTAAAACCAAAACACTTCAAATCTAGCTCCTTAGAATCGACCGT